TGATGATTTGGCAAATTAAAACTAATCAATTGAGTATGCTATCGAGTATGGTGGTTGGTATAATACATCAAAGTTTTGTATTGATTGATTGCACTTGTATATGATAATTGCTTATATACATTGTATTGTGTGGGAGGAGATGGGGGATGCACTCCACGGTTTATTGAAAGATGGGGGATAGACCTCTAAACCGGATATTGTTTGACATTGATACAACACTACCATGTATATCATTTGTGAATTATAGAAGTGTTTGGTTTGACATTGATATAGCACTAAAATGTGTATTATTTGTCTTGATTGATTAAATTTGTATATGATAATTGCTTATATACATTGTATTGTGTGGGAGGAGATGGGGGATGTGCTCCACGGTTTATTGGAAGACGGGAGATGGACCTCTAAACCGGATTTTGTTTGAGATTGATACAACACCAAAATGTGTATCATTTGTGAAGTATGAAAGTGTTTGTTTGATTTGATATAGCACTAAAATGTATATCATTATCATTTGTGAAGTATGAAAGTGTTTGTTTGATTTGATATAGCACTAAAATGTATATCAGTATCATTTGTGGAGTATGGGAATGTTTTTGTTGACTCTGATACAGCACCAAAAAGGGTATCCATTATAAATTTTGAAAGTAGTTTAGTGATGAGTTATCATCTCATTAAATTATGTGGCCAGACTCTAAGCCTTGTTTTCAAACTTATAGTTGGATAAGAAATGGAAAATGAATTGTAATATGGACATGATTGTCATGAAACCGTAACATCGTATACGTTGGAATTTAAGTGTGAACCACCTATCTAATGCTATTGTTTTAGTCATTGTTTATAGTTGGTTTAGTGTATTTCTACTGGGCTATGGCTCACCCTATATGGGACTTCATATTCAGGTACCGATGGTATATTACCTTCAAGAACATAGTTTGGAAGGTTAGAGGCAAACAGACTATTTTGTTGTTTTGTTTTCTTTGGATGTATTTCATGTAAATTCAAGCCAAGGGCTAAATATGTATTTGAGTTAGTACTCTATTTTTGTAACCAAGTGTTGACTTGGAAAGTTGTAAGCCTATAGGGCAGTTTCTTTTGTTGTCAACGTGTAATACATTTTGTAAGGACACTCTGATGATTGTAATATAATATCTCTTTCCTGTAACTTGACTATTTGATATTATGGGTTTATTTTGAGGGCGTTACAACTTGGTATCAAAGCGTACCGGGTTCGAATACTTTGGGTACGTGAGAAGTGATTAGGATCACAATGGGTTTGTCTCACTTGATAGAGACTTAGATGTAATGCCCACGGTTTATTGAAAGATGGGGGATGGACCTCTAAACCGGATATTGTTTGACATTGATACAACACTACCATGTGTATCATTTGTGAATTATAGAAGTGTTTGGTTTGACATTGATATAGCACTAAAATGTGTATTATTTGTCTTGATTGATTAAATTTGTATATGATAATTGCTTATATACATTGTATTGTGTGGGAGGAGATGGGGGATGCACTCCACGGTTTATTGAAAGATGGGGGATGGACCTCTAAACCGGATATTGTTTGACATTGATACAACACTACCATGTGTATCATTTGTGAATTATAGAAGTGTTTGGTTTGACATTGATATAGCACTAAAATGTGTATTATTTGTCTTGATTGATTAAATTTGTATATGATAATTGCTTATATACATTGTATTGTGTGGGAGGAGATGGGGGATGCACTCCACGGTTTATTGAAAGATGGGGGATGGACCTCTAAACCGGATATTGTTTGACATTGATACAACACTACCATGTGTATCATTTGTGAATTATAGAAATTGTTTGTTTTGATTTGATATAGCACTAAAATGTATATCATTATCATTTGTGAAGTATGGAAGTGTTTGTTTGATTTGATATAGCACTAAAATGTATATCAGTATCATTTGTGGAGTATGGGAATGCTTTTGTTGACTCTGATACAGCACCAAAAAGGGTATCCATTATAAATTTTGAAAGTATTTTAGTGATGAGTTATCATCTCATTAAATTATGTGGCCAGACTATAAGCCTTGTTTTCAAACTTATAGTTGGATAAGAAATGGAAAATGAATTGTAATATGGACATGATTGTCATGAAACCGTAACATCGTATATGTTGGAATTTAAGTGTGAACCACCTATCTAATGCTATTGTTTTAGTCATTGTTTATAGTTGGTTTAGTGTATTTCTACTGGGTTATGGCTCACCCTATATGGGACTTCATATTCAGGTATCGATGGTATATTACCTTCAAGAACATAGTTTGGAAGGTTAGAGGCAAACAGACTATTTTGTTGTTTTGTTTTCTTTGGATGTATTTCATGTAAATTCAAGCCAAGGGCTAAATATGTATTTGAGTTAGTACTCTATTTTTGTAACCAAGTGCTGACTTGGAAAGTTGTAAGCCTATAGGGCAGTTTCTTTTGTTGTCAACGTGTAATACATTTTGTAAGGACACTCTGATGATTGTAATATAGTATCTCTTTCCTGTAACTTGACTGTATGATATTATGGGTTTATTTTGAGGGCGTTACATAAACAAACATAGGATACACATCATTTCCAACCATAATCCACGGACAACGTATCTCAAAACTAACAGTTCGGTAAATTACAATCATCCCTTATTCAACCCGTCCAAATAAACACACTCTAGAAGTAAGTTTTAACGAGTGTCAAAAAAATGAAAATTAATATTAATATTTGTTTAGTGAATAAAATTTAGTAATGGAAAAGGTTCTGGACTCAAGGGAAAAGGATTAGGAGGTGGAGGGCTACAAATGAGCCAAGCTTAGTTGAATGGAGTTTTGCTGAGTTTGAATTCGGCTCATTTACTTATCAAGTTTGTTTATTGAGGTTAAGCTCGGCTCGATAACTAACTGAGTTTGAATTCGACTTGTTAATATTAATGAAACTTGAACTCGGCTCAGTTCAATAATTTTTATTATTATTTATATCATTTATATATTATTTTATATATAAATAATATATTTATTATATAATTTAAATAAAGATAAATAAACTAAACTTGATGAGTTGAACTTATTCGAATTCGATTTATTTACTAAACAAGCCTAATATTCAAATTCGAACTCGGTTCGTTTATTAAAATAAGTTATTCATTGATTTATTTCTATCATATCACATTTCTATTTTTTCGTACGTCTTTTTTTTATAAGTAAAATAATAATAAAAAAAATAGTAGTGCCAAAAGAACCAAAAAGATAGAGAGCCAAACAAGGGGATATTTTGTTGAAATTATGGAAACAGTTTATAGCTTATTTTTAATTATGAGAGTTTGTATTAGATTATTTGATATAATTTTTATTTATAATTTATTAAGTAGTAATAACTTAAATAAATTAAAAAAAGCTAATTTTTAAAAAATTAAGGATTCGTTTGAGATGTGAGTTGCCTTTTTAGTTTTTTGGCTATTTTAACATATGTTAAAAAGTTTCTTTTGAGATGAGTTTTTTGACTTTTATGAGAGAAAAAATAAAATAATTATAGGTTAAATGTGGCATTTTATCTTATTAATTTTTTAACTTATTTTGTCATTTTGTGACTATTTTAACTCAAGATTGAGATGTCAAACAAAGGTTAAGTGAAAAATATTTTTAACTTTACTTTTTAATTATAAATTTTTAATTTAAATAAAAATGTTAGAAATTTCAAAAGTTCTATCAAAATTTTTATTAAAACTTTGTTTGTCATAACTAAAAAAAATTAAAAAGTTAAGAAGTCACTATCCTATTTAAGTCATATCACTTCTACCACATTATTTCAAACCTAACCCATATTTGATAAAAAATTAAAAAATATATTTATTTAAATCATCCCAAATCACCCATTTTTTAACTTATTTTGTCATTTTATGACTATTTTAACTCAAGATTGAGATGTCAAACAAAGGTTAAGTGAAAAATATTTTTAACTTTACTTTTTAATTATAAATTTTTAATTTAAATAAAAATGTTAGAAATTTCAAAAGTTCTATCAAAATTTTTATTAAAACTTTGTTTGTCATAATTAAAAAAAATTAAAAAGTTAAGAAGTCACTATCCTATTTAAGTCATATCATTTCTACCACATTATTTCAAAGCTAACCCATATTTGATAAAAAAATAAAAAATATATTTATTTAAATCATCCCAAATCACCCCTAAATACCTCATATAAGTGAAACTCATAACTTTTTATATTTTTTTCATCACATTAGAGCATCTCCAACGGTGAATCAAAAATTTCACCAAATCTGAGTTAAAAAATGGCCATTTCCTGAATTTGACACTTCAGGCTCCAACGGTTCACCTTCACCAAATCTATCCCGGGACAACCGGGTGGTCGACCGGCCGGTTGACCGGTTAGGCAAAAAAATTTTTTTTTTTGCGAATTGTCTGAACTTTTTTTGAACTTTCTGAACTATTTTCGGGACAACCGGGGTGGTCGACCGGCCGGTTGACCGGTTAGGCAAAAAATATATATATATATATTTTTTTTTAACGATTTGAACTTTTTTTCCTGAACTGTTTGAATCTTTTACTGGTTGACCGGTTGGTCAACCGGCCGGGCAACCGGTTGGTCGACCGGTGTACCATTTTCAACGGTCAGTAACAGTGATTTGGTAAAATCTGTGTCTTGATCTCAGTTTGATGTCTTGTTTGCTGAATTCTCATTTTGGTATGACTTTGGTGCAACCGTTGGAGCGTGAAAAAGTGGGTTTTTCATCAAAATTTAAATCTGATGCTGGGTTTGGTTCACCGTTGAAGATGGTCTTATCTCTCTACTTTTTTACACATCTTTTTATAAAAAGATAAAAAATATATTTATTTAAATTATTCCAAACGACCCTTAAGTGAAACTCACAAAAATTTTAATAAAATTTTTAAAATCTGTAACGCTACTCTAATTTAAAATAATCTCTACTTCGGTGACTGTCGTTATAGTCGAACAAGAGTCAAACCAGCCATCCCTGTAAATTCGAAACCGAAACAATAATATTTTAATGTTAAAAATTCGTGTCTTTGATTTTCTCTCTCCTTAATTTCTTTGGATTTTGAAGTTTTGAACTGTACACCGTCCCGCTCATGCGCCCCCTATATTTTCACTCTTTTTCTCTCTCTATAAAAAGAGCTCACTCTTCTTCTGCATGATCTGAACCTACTCTGTTTCCTTCGAGCTCAGGATGCTGAGTAAGGTTAACTTCGTTCGATTTGCAATGCATCGTTTTTTTTGTTTCAATCTTTTGTTCACGGATCGATATGGATTTGTTGTTTTTTGTGAATTTGAATTTGAAATTTGAATTTTTTTTTGAAGTTTTGGAACGTAGATTTGTGGGAAGATGGTTCATCTCCAGTGAAAAACTGCGTTTAGTTGCTGAGAAAATGATGGAAATGGAAAGAAAGATTTGTAAAACTGGAATCTTGGTCTTTGGTTGTATTGGGTCCAAGAAAACATATTAGGTAGATGAAAAAAGAAAAAAGAAAAAAAAGAAAAAAAACCAAATTCAAACAAATCCAGTATTCCCCTTCTTTTTTATTTTTATTTTTTTAATATTCTGAGTTTGCTTTAGATAGATCTTTCTACCGTTTGTTTTTTATTTTTGAAAATTTTAATTTGTTAGCTTGAGTATTGAATACTTTTATTTTCAGATTAGTATTTGATTCTTTGACTATTACTAGAGAAATGTTGATTGTTTTTTTTTTTCTTCTCTAGTTGGTTAATGCCATTTCGAATTTCATCTTATATTTGCTTGATTTGAATTTGCTGATCTTTAATTGTTCTGTTCTGAAGAGATTTTTAACAAATTGTATAAAACTGTGCTGGATTGTCAGCAGTAAATGTGTACGGATCTCATCGTAAATACATACAATTTGGTATGCTACATTGGTGAATTCTTTCAAAAACTATGAATGTTTAAGATTTTCATCGAATTTAGCTCATCTTTTAAAATCTAGCATATTTGATATTTTATAAAATTATTTAATTAGCCTTCATGGTAATAATCCATTTCAGCCCATTTCGATTTGTAAATTGGACCTACCTAGGATGCAGAACTAAATTGATGTAATGGAATTCACTTCCAAGTAGATATATGCAGATAGATATACAGTTTTTATGCTAAGAAATTGTATTAATCTATTATTTGAATATCCATTTTCTTTTCTGTCTTCCCATTTGGTTTATGGATATGCTTGATGGAATCCCTGAAATCTATAGATCCAAAGCTAAGATAGGTGTTTTGTTTGTTTTGAAACTGTCAATTGCAGATTATAAATTTTCATGTAGGCTCCGTTCGTTTTGGAGTAAAATATTTTACTCTGAAAAATATTTTTATATGAAAAGATTTTGCACAAAAAGAATTTTTGTTTATTACACTTGAAAAATATTTCCATAAACTCATCTCACTCTGTACCAAGCACTTGCTGGCATTCACAGCAAGCTCGCTCAAGCACAGCAAAAACGGCTAACTGAATTTCAGGATGCAAGTCATTTTGGGCTATTTCAGAAAAATCATTTTTCATAAAAAATATTTTACTTGCCTTTTGTTCAACCAAACATCGGAAATATTTTATGTCCAGACAAACGAGCCTTAGAATCATCAAACTATAATGTTAGATAGTTTCATGCCTAAACAATATTTTCTGGCATTTGATTCTAATGGCTTTATTTCACTATTGATTTTTTAATTTGATATATTTCATTCTATTAGATTCCTAGATTCATTTTGGCAATCCTTTACCTCCCTATCAGATCGTAGCTGTCTATACCTTATGGACATGGGTGGTGCCCCTCTTCTGGTTATTTATGAGATATGCATTACTTTGCTTATCCAAAAAAATTAGTGCTTTATTTTACATTCAGTCTTTGAGCTTTATCCTACAATTTTTCCTCTCATAATATATTTCTTTACTAGCTTGTTCCCTACTCTGCAACTCCTCATCTGAACACTTGACCCTGATATGTATACTGTTACAGGTTTGATGAGTCTTATTCGACTTTGAAAGCACTTTCTTGCTCTTCTCCAAGGCTTGTAAATATGAAGAAGGAAAATATTGTTATGGCTAATGTTGGAGAACCTACTACTCGAATAACAAGAGCTCGAGCTGCTGCCTGTCGTGCAACTGGAGGGATTCCCCAGTCAGAAGCACCAAAACAGCAGGATCAAAAGCGGGTTTTAAGGATAAACTCAAAAAGAGCAGCCTTGGACGAGGTGAAGAACAGTGCTCCTGTTCCTGCAGGTGTTCAGCACAAGAGGAGGGCAGTGCTTAAGGATGTCACAAATGTTTGCTGTGATTCCTATAAGAACTGCCTCATTGCAGCTAAAATTTCGGTTTGTACACTCATTCTGCTGAGATTATATTATACTTACAAGGAAAAGAAAATATTTTAAAACAGTTTCTTATATTATTTAGTATTAAGACTCAAAATGGTTGCTTTCATAGAAATGAAATTTGGATAGGTATGCTGTTGCCTTACCAAGAAAAGCAATCCTAATGTTGAGATCAGCTTTAAATGAGCAGCATTTTTTAGTATAGTGAAGACTAAACTGGTTGAGGAGCTCAAAGATTATCTTGACTATAAGTTACCCATTTTAAATATTTTTTTATTAGAAGCTAGATTTGCTGCATGACTTGGACTTTCTGCCATAAATAATACTCATTTTTTATTTAAAATGTCATAACTGACCTCTGTTAATTATGCCGATTGTCAGAAAAAGAATAGTAAACCGGCCAGAAAATGTTCGGCGAATGTTTCCAAGGTTGCTCCCTCTGTTGCAGTACAAATGCAGCAGCTTCCAGCAGAATCAAAAACAAAAATAGCTCAAGAAACTGCGAAGACAGAAGTTGAATGTTCAGTGAAGTTGGTAGACAACATACCTTGTCAGACAGGGATTACTGTGAAAGGGTGTGCCATAGACAATCATCTGCTTGGAAAACAAAATACTGAACTTCCTTTACAACTAAAATTTTCAGAGAGAGGTTTGCCTTCTCCTGATTTCTCATTCATGAAATGACACCTTTTCTACCAATTTTGATATTAACAAAATCCTAGAACACACATCAGTCCTATGTTTCTACACACTGACAACTTCAATGGTCAAAGCCATTTTTTGGTTTGCTGAAGTGCAAAAAAGTCATTTATTGGCTATGCCACTCCAATGGTGACTTGTCATTTTGGCATAATCAAGTTCCACATCAATTCAACTAGTTTCTACATGTTGCACTCTGGATCAACCAAACTCTTTCTCTCACTGACATGATGAGATGAGTATCAAGTTTTTTTTCTTTTTGTTTTTCTTCTCTAGATTTGTTACTTTTTAAAGATGGATAAATTGTGATTATTGGTGTAATTTAAATTCTTTAATTATAATTTTTAGAATTGTTTTTTTGTAATTTGTAGAATTCTTTCTATAGTTTTACCTAAGAAGCACGGACACTTCTAAGAAGGTGACGTATCCGTGTCGTGTTCGTGTCGGACACCGACACTCTTTGGACACTCTTAGGACACGTGTCTGACACTCTTCAAAACGTGTCTTATTTTTAAATTTTTTTTAAAGATCCAAGCACTCTTTGAACACTTGGAGGACACATGTGTCAATCACTTAAACACACGTGTCTATCGATTAGACACATGTGAAACTAATTATAAGCTTGAATACAATAATTTAAGATATAATAATAAAACAAAACCCATATAAATTTATAGAAATTAGTGTCATATTGCATTTTATATTATATTTGAATGATATATTTATATATATAATATATAATAAATATATAAAATTATATATTTCATGCGTCTCCCCCACGTATCGTGTCCTGTATTTTTTGAAAATTAACGTGTCAGCGTGTCCGTGTCGTATCCGTGTCGTGTCACGTGTCCGTGTCCATGCTTCTTAGAGTTTTACAATTTTAGCCTGTGAGTTTTGGTTTGTGGAAGTTGTGAACTCTAGTAGGAAAAATAGTTGGGTTTTAAGGCAGCAAATCTGATGTGGCAAAAAATGGCAATGCAGAATTTGGCACAAAATTTGGCTTTGTCATATTTTGGCAATGCATTTAGCTCACCATTGGAGATGAGTTTTTGCAAGGTCTTTTTTTGGCTTTGGGAAGCCTTTTGGCTTGATCATTGGAGTAAACAATTTATTTTCCTTCTAATCCATTGCTAATAGATGAAAAGTTATTAAACAGACAATCGGAGGAAAAATCCATGAACAGTAATCAAGAGCTGTGATGTGAAAAACATTCAGTGGTGAATCTGGTGATAGTAAAATGGAGAGTTATGAACTTAAGTTTAGGTAATATTTATATCACAAATATGTTTATGGGGTTTCATATGTGCAATGTAGGACTTGCTAATGGTAGCCATTATATGTGAGAAACACTATGCAAGAAATGCAACAGAGAAATACAAAGTGCATGAGTAAATGTTGAAGTGAAATAGAAAAAAAGAGAAAAAAAAAAAAAAAAAGGAAACAAAAATTGCAAGTAGAATTCTAGTAGATATGACCAATTTTCTGGGTGGTTAAGGCTTTCTGGATTTGCTGCTGCAGTTGATCTCAATGAAGCCTCTAGGAGCTTTCTCTGCCATAAATAAAAGCAGTCCTCCGGAGAAAGAATTCTACTACACATGGAACCATTGTCGTCAAATGTCATGTAAAAAGGATGAGTTGTGAATCCAATTTGCTAATAAGCATTGTTTAAACCACTCCTTTTCAGCTTTGGTTCCTTCCTCCCAAAATTGATGTGATCATACCATTTTGCCCATTTATAGGATTACCTTATGCGCTACATTGTTTCCTAGGTTGAACTTTGGCCATTAATAGTTGTATTGTTTCTTCTTCTTCTTCATTGGTGTTATTTAACAAACTTTTGTGGATATGACTGATCCTATTTTGTGTAGCCTGATAAACCAAATCAAACTAGATTAAGACTTGTGTCCCAATTAGGTGAGGTTGGCTACATAAATTCTTTTTCACCATTCCGCTGTGTCAAGGGCTATATGCTCAATGAATATTGGGTCATATAGTTTGAAAAATATCATGACCTTCCGGGAAGGTTTCATTGTTATAGCAATTTCTTTTTTGATTTCATTTTAAAGTCCTTTTGTTTTTGTTTTACGTGCTGCATTATTTAATTTCACATTTTGACCAAGAATGATGCTTTTGTAACCGACAAAGCAGATGAAGTTGGCCTTTGTGGGAAGTTGATTGCATCTACCAAGCCAGACATTACAAACATTGATTCTGACCAAAAGGATTCTCTATTGTGCACCATCTATGCTCCTGATATCTATAGCAATTTACGTGTTGCGGAGGTTTGTGCTGTAGTTACTATTTTTTTTTTATTATCTGTTTGATGTTTGTTCTTATGCTGCTGATGTTGCGATTTTTAAGAGTATAATTCATGAACTTGACTTGTTGGATGCTCTCCCCAATAAATGGAAACAGTGGCATGCACTCATGCATGCAAAATTTGCCTTTTGTAGAATTCGACTTTGTTGCATCCCCTTTCTGGTTCCATCTCTTGAAATTATGATCTAGGATTATTGCTTGCTTTTTAGTTTGCATGCCAACTCTCACGACATTGCTTTTCAATCTGCACAACATTCAATAATGCCTTTCTTTAATGGGATGATGTAGGACAAGTGTGGGGTTACTCTCCTACTAGTAATGAATGACTAATGAGCCCAAATCTAATATGTGGGACAGCAGGAGAGAGAGAGAGATAGAGAGAGCACATACCTTGGAGAGTATTATACTTAGCTTAGCGTTTCAGAATCTACAATGCAACCCCTGAGGCTTATCACACCTACCACTGCTGATCATAAAGAGGAATCTTTAGTTGAAATCAGAAGTTTTTTTAGTAAGGAAAGAGAATCCTTGACAAGAGGCAATTTCTGAAAACAAAAAGAGATTAATTTGCTGTCTTGTTTTCTAGAACTAGTTTTTGTTCTGATTTGGACACTTGATTTTTCAGATGTCGAACAAAATGTGTAGCTTATGATTGTACCACTGAAATATATGCAGTAATTTAATTTCATTGCTGCAATAAACTTATGTATTTATATTTAAATGAAAATATTAAAAATGGCAAGTGTCTGCATAATCTTTTCCACCACAAAGAAACCTTGGCTCTAGCCTCAAGGTTCCTGTTAAGATTATGACCTCATGGTGTTTTTACTCTCTCTTTATCTCTCTACAAGATGCCTTGCAATAATTTGGGATCTAATCATTGTTTCTCCAGCTGATCCGAAGGCCACATACTACTTTTATGGAAACAGTACAGCGAGATATCACCCAGAGCATGAGGGGAATTTTGGTTGATTGGCTTGTTGAGGTTGGTGTGGTTTTGACCCTTGTTACTATATCAAGCAGTCAAATTTATGCATTTTCTGTTAGAAAGTTTAGGTAGTAGTTGCGAAGCTAATTGGTAATGTGCCTTGGAAGTGAATGTGATTAGTATTTACTTAAATTATTTTGAGGAGATTTTCTCAATTTGGATCCATTTGCTACATTTACTTCTCTTTACTTTCTTCCATCAAATTGCTTCTTCTTTATTAGTAAGTGAAAAAGTTCAGATTAACATGTCTTAGGTTTAATCTGTGTGAGTGTGCGAACGCACGCTTGTTAGTATTTTGTGGTGTGGATGGCAGCCTTTTTATTTTGTTATCCATTTTATATTCACTTGGCTACAACATCTATACATATTGTTCATCTTTAGAACTGTATTTAATGATAGAAGACCTTAGAAGTCAACAATCTTGCTATTATTGGCTTTTAAAACTATAATTCTGATTTTCGTATAAAAAAAGGTTAAATTAGAAACTGCCTCTTGCATTGGATCTCTTTCTATCCAATTTCTTGTTACTGCCTTTAAACTATCCAAGGGTAATTATTGAGGTAGTCAATGAAGTTTGTGGTAGGGTGCATACTGCATACACCTTTTCGAGGGTGCACACCGTAACAACTCCCCATTTGGGAATAGTTTGGCACTTTTTAGTTTGGAGTTTGAACAGTTGCAACATGGCACGAGGCTGCAAATGAGTGAATATCTGGAATTTCTCTTAAGAGGTTGAACTCTCTTTTCATTTTCTTGCTTTCTAGTTATCAAGTTTTTAGATGTCAGTGCATTGTTTATGTTCCTTAAAGTTGTCTTATGATTTGTATAAATAAATGGTGCAATTTGAAAGGGAAAAATAGTGATTGTTTTTAACTCTGGTTTCAGGTATCTGAGGAATATAAGTTGGTGCCAGACACAATTTATCTCACTGTGCATCTCATTGACTTGTTTCTCTCTCAAAACTACATTGAAAGGCAAAGACTACAATTGCTTGGCATCACTTGCATGTTCATCGCCTCGTAAGTTTGCTTCAGTGAAATTCTGATCATGTTTCTTTCAGACGTTTTGGACTACAATGTTAAATAGGATGCATGAATTATAGACAATATTGCATATAAGGCTATTGATCACATGGAAAACAGTGAATCTGTTACTTATGGAGAGCAATGTTTACTTTGTTTAGCATAACTTTCCTGGGACCCATTTAGGCTTAAAATACAATGAGGTGCATGGGGATAAGATATAACTAATTGTGCTGATTTATGAAGGCAGAGTGTTGGAGATGTGGATAATTGTGTTTTGCTCTTATGTATAGTTGATAAGCAACAGAGATTCCTATGCCATTTGTGGTCATATTGTTGGAAAATCAATTTGACACTAATCTTGGGTATTTTATTTTTAATGTTTATTTTCATTTTTTTTTTTTTTTGAATGTGATCTGATCTTCAATGTGGTTTTCCTCTTTATGACTTAAAGGAAGTATGAAGAGATTTGTGCACCTCGGGTGGAGGAATTTTGTTTCATCACGGACAACACTTACTCTAGAGGAGAGGTATGTCCCAACCCAATTTCTTCCTGTGCATCAGTGACACTTTAAGAACATAGTTTTACTTTTCATTATAAAATACTTATATTGCTTAAATTTTCATAAATAAGAGTTCCATATAAACTTAACCCTAAATTAATTGATGCTGAAGGTCAATTAGTTTTATATCTTCTCACAGGCTACCAGGATCCCATCCATAATTTAAAAATATTCTTTGCTTTAATTCACTTTTAGACCAAAGAATTGGAGCTTGTCTTTGGGGACACCCAAGTGGCTTGGGTTGCATGTTGTGTATAGAATTAGAAAGTTGAATCAGATGCAGGATCTGCCAGAATTTCGTGTATAGAATTTGAATTTAAATGAGAATATCATGGTATCTCAGTACAATAATCCACTGATCTGGCTGGCATTCTATGCCTAGCTGTTGTGCTTGCAGTTGGAACACTAGGCCATCAAGAGTGATGCAAAGGAGGTGATATTTGTTTCTTTATTCTCCAACATATGCATATATTGATAAAAATGCAATTTTATGTATGTCTCCAGCTTTGTATGCAGGCATGCATGTATTTATTACTTGTTCATGAGTACAAAATCAGTTGTTAAAAAAGATATGAATTTATTTAATTCAATTAAGCATATAGCCCCTGACAGATTAGATTGACAAAAAAGGATTCACGTAGCTAGCTTCACCTAAGTTGGACATTCGCATAGTCCCTTGAACATTTTGAATGAATGCAATTGAAAAACATATTACAGTAACATGATTTTTTATTTCTTAACTTGCAAAAGGCCTTGGAGGTCTCTTTATTCTCAGAACTTGTGTGACCTATTCTTTGTTCTTCATATTTATTTATTTTCCCTAAATAATTCTGGTTGCCTATTTGATGTATCAAATTTCCTTACCAAGTCGTGAACTGGTAGGTTCTGAAAATGGAGAGTCAAGTTTTAAAAAATTTGGGTTTTCAACTTTCAGCACCAACTGCAAAAAAATTCCTGAGGTACTTCCGCTTTTCTAGTTCTATCATCTTCATCAATTTTAGTCTTCATTTGATCACTTAAGCTTTTGATGTAAATCCTTGTGCATATTTAACTGTTTACAGGAGATTCTTACGAGCAGCACAAGCTTCTTACAAGGTAATATTGATGGTTTACGTCATGTATTTGGAGTTTTGGCTAATTTCTCTTCAAAGATGAACCAACTTTTCTAATTCTTGCACTTGCAGACCCCTAGTCTTGAACTGGAGTTTTTAGCAAATTATCTAGCAGAACTGACATTAGTCGATTATGAGTTCTTGAAATTACTTCCTTCCACAATTGCTGCATCAGCTGTATTCCTTGCTAGATGGACATTAGATCAGTCGGGCCACCCATGGGTTTGTGTTCTTCACTTTTGTTTCTTTTTTTACCACACTTCAATTCTAGCTATGAGGGGGTATGATTTCATTTATGATATATTGCAGAATGCAACTCTGGAACACTATACCAATTACAAGGCATCGGATCTAAAAATTGCAGTTATTGCATTACAAGGTTTACAACTGAATACCAACGATTGCCCCCTGAATGCTATCCGTGCAAAGTACAGGCAAGATAAGGTAAGATATTGTGTCAAAATGAAAGATTGATCTAATAAGTTTTACCATCTTATGCTATCTGAAACCATATGACTGAGTTTGATTAGTACGAAAGTGGTGGAAAGTGAGTGACAGAAAAAATGAAACATTTTTTTTAGTTTGTTTATTTTGAAAGTGGTGGAAATTACAAGAAAAGTTAACTTTGTTGTACAACCGATATTAGCATGGTAACCAAGTTTTTAATTTCTTGCAAAAAAATAGAGGAAAACTCAAGAAAATTTAAAATTTATCCATGCAAGGGTTACTTGTAATTAAAATTTCAAATTTCTCTCTTTCTTGCAAAATTTTCATCCAAATCAAATGCTTGCTAAGAATATATCTTTTACTTTTCATTTCTTTTCTTTCACGTTAATTTCTATCACTTTCACTTTTCAATATTTTTTTTTCCTTTTCTTTTTAATCTAGCATAGCTTATAACTTGGACTCATTCTAACAAGGTTTTTTTTTTCCATGATAGCAGTATAAATCTGTAGCAGCTTTGTCTTCCCCTGAACTTCTACAAACACTCTTCTAAAGATAGCATGGCTGATTTATCATAGCCACAACAGGGTGCTAACAGATAAAGATTCTTCACCATACCAGATGGGAGTTGCCTCTGTATATCGGCCTCTCTTCCTTGAGGTTTTACCTGATGTCTAATTTTAAATCTTTTTTTTTTTTTTTTCAATTTTCTGCTTCATTTATATTTGTTTCTGCCCATTTTCTTTTTTACCTTTCAAATCGCTGTTCATAATTCTTTCACAACTTTGTTGGGTTTGGTTCTTCCAAACCTCTGTAAGTTGAATCCCAAAATCTCTTTCTGAACTAACTAATCACCTGAAAGATAAAAATTAATTGTTGGGTTGTAAGTTTGGTAAGAAAGAAATGTAATTGATGATTCGTATTACTTTTGTTGCCGAGGCATCCATTGAATGAACTGTTTTTATCTGTACCTGTGTCTCTTTTCCTATGCTTTTCTCTACTACTATTACTCTTATTTAAAAATTCTTGTCCTGGTGATGAATCATGTGTGAGTTTTGAATGCATCACATTTTCTTGTCTTTTTTTTCATTCACCTGAATATTTTTTCTGAGAATTTACTAAGATTAGCAACATGGGTTGAATTGAAGACTAGAAGTTGATAGCATACAACATAGGAAGATTTGAATATATTGTTAATCAAAAAATGTCCTCTACCTTTTTTTTTCATGATAGGAAAGAAGAATGTAAATTAGCTTAAATTTGTACTTTCAACTTGATAATCTCTTAATGGACGTAGACTACTGAATTCAAATCATTTATTGCGTTTCATACTTCTTTGTCTATCTCCTTGAATCTTATTGGTTTATGGACAACTCTATGAACAGATAAAAAGGGGAAGAAAAAAAGGTGTTGGTTGTGGATGGGGAAGAAGGGTGTGCCATGGTGGTATGAGGAGAGTTTGGGAAGAAAAAATGTATGAATTGACCAAACTATCCCTAAAAATATTAAAATAATAGCTAGAAAGACAGTATTATCATTTTTTAGTTAGTCTGGTTAATAGAGTTTGATTGGTAGTTAGAATTGATATAAACTTTAAAATGTTAGATTTTATCTGATAAAATTAAATTTTCAAGGTTTAATTTGTTGTTAAGGATGAAACCTTGGGGTAATTTATGTAATTTTCTAAAGATAAAAATAAAAATGGAAGTGCAAATCTATTTTCTTTCTTTATGATTTGGTCTGTTTGTACGTCACAGCACTTCAATAACATGCAGAGAGTCTTCTTATAATTTTATACTAAAATACGAAGTTATTTTTATTTTTTATTTTTTAAAAATTTTATCAGCATGTTCCCCTTTAATGGTAAATATTAAATGATCAAACCACATTTTTATTTTATTTTCTACTCTTATCTACCTTTTCTTTTGTATTAGTACTCTTCCTTCCTTATATTTTCACCTAATTTCAAACTTAAACTTAAATTTAGGTTGATTACTAAATTAATTTGTAATTTATTTTTTGCAATAATGTATATAATTAACTAAAATATATTAATTACCAAGTAAATATTAATTGGGGATTTTTTTTAAGATCCTTGATATTAAGATTTTATAACATAAAAAATATCAAATATTTTCATAATGTCTAAAGTTTCTCAATATCAATTCATAAAAAATTGAACAATTAGAGAAAATTTCAATCTAAAGAAAATTGAACATTTCAATCAAGAGAAAATTGAACAATCAGAGAAAAGTTCAATCCAGAGAAATTTCAATCCAAATCAGAAAATTTCTCTGGACCAACCTAGAAAAAACAAACCAGAGAATTTTTCTGGATCAACCCAGAGAAAATTTAGTTCAAACCAGAAAAAATTCAGTCCAATTTAGAGAATTTCTCTGGACCAATCCAGAGAAATTCAATTCAATACACGAAGTAGAGATTGTTATACACAAAAGTGAAAGACAATCTCACTAAGAAAACACAACATCTGCCTAGTCGAAGATGTGCATCTACAGAGTCCCTCAGTGCCTGCTAAAAAGCTACAACTAGTGATGTATTTGAATTAGCTAACTGCTCGTTTGAAGTACCTTGTCTGCTGAGCCTAGATGTTTCATTAGCCACAATAGCATTAATCTGAACGTTTCCAAGTGTTATGTAAGGTATCACTTTTACATACAGTATGATCAACATCATGAGGACCATCTTCTTTAACCCCATTATCACCATTTATCAACCAAACTCGGCAGGAACTTGATTGTTCGGGTGGAGTACTTTCATCCCCATTTCTAGATGGATTTAATTTTTTTGTAGTAATGACAGTTGTACCACCAATTGGATTGCCATTACTTTCTCCAACATTTGCAGCACCATTTTGTGAAATATGATTCTTATCATTTACGATATCTTCCATGTTCTCTGCCCATTTAGGCCGAGAATGAACCCTGAGCATCGGTTCCAAGAAGGTTTTCCAAATCTTCACAACTTTATCCAACTGTTCAGTCGTACAAACTTCACCACAAGAATATTTGACTAGCTGGTATAGGTCTTCATGGATGTTCGAATCAAGATATTCAAATTCTATATGTGGAATGATAGTTTTTTTATTTCCAGCAAGCGTACCCAGCACGACATTAGCCTATAATTGGACTCTATTAAAGAACTGGAACAGGAGGCCTGTGCTTGTTACGAAGGCATCCTCGTTTGACTCAGATCGTGGTGGTTCGCGGCTTAAATCGCGATGGTCTGGCTCAGATCGCGACATTCTGACGACGGCATGGTAGAGATAGAGGCAAAGGTGAAGTCGGCGGCGTCGAAGATGAAGACCGAGAGAGGAGAAAGGAGTAGAGGGAGAGGAATGTGCACAAAGAGAGAGGGTTTGGTTTGGATAGAATGAAAATCGAAGAGAGAGAGAGAGTAAAATTTCTCTGCTCTGATATATGGGTGTAGGTTTAGGGACTTTAAACATCAAAAAATAATATTGTGGATCTCTTTGTGCACATTCCTCTCTCTTTTCCTTTCTCCTCTCTCGATTTTTATCTTTGACGCCGCGGGCTTTACCTTCGCCTCTGTCTCTACCACGCCATCACCAGAATGTTGCGATCTAAGCCGCGAAACACCACAATATGAGTTGGACGATGATGCCTTCGTAACAAGCACGGGCCTCCTGTTCCAGCTCTTTAATGGAATCTAGATATAGGCTAATGTCGTGCTGGGTACGCTTGCTGGAAATAGAAGAACTATCATTCCATATATGGAATTTGAATATCCTAATTTGGACATCCATGAAGACCTGTACCAGCTAGTCAAATATTCCTGTGGTGAAGTTTGTACGACTGAATAGTTGGATAAAGTTATAAAGATTTGGAAAACCTTCTTGGAACCGATGCTTGGGGTTCTTTCTCGGCCTAAAGGAGCAGAGGACATGGAAGATGTCGTAAAGGATAAGAATCATATTTCACAAAGTGGTGCTGCAAATGTTAGAGAAAGTAACAGTAGTCCGATTGGTGGTACAACTGTCATTACTACAAAAAAATCAAATCCATCTAGAAATGGAGATGAAAGTACTCTACCCAAACAATCAAGTTCCTGCCGAGTTTGGTTGATAAGCGGTGATAATGGGGTTAAAGAAGATAGTCCTCATGATGTTGTTCATACTGCATGTAAAAGTGATACCTTACATAACACTTGGAAACATTCAGAGTAATACTATTGTGGCTAATGAAACATCTGGGCTCAGCAGACAAGGCACTTCAAACGGGCAGTTAGCTAATTCAAATATATCACTGGTTGTGTAGCTTTTTAACAGGCACTGAGGGACTCTATAGATGCACATCTTCGACCAGGTAGATATTGTGTTTTCTTGGCGAGATTGTCTTTCACTTTTATGTATAACAATCTCTGCTTCGTGTATTGGATTGAATTTCTTTGGGTTGGTTCAGAGAAATTCTCTGGGTCGGACTAAATTTTCTCTGGTTTGAACTGAATTTTCTCTAGGTTAATCCAGAGAAATTCTCTGGTTTGAACTGAATTTTTTCTGGGTTGGTCCAAAGAAATTTTCTGGTTTGGATTGAAATTTCTCTAGATTGAACTTTTCTCTAATTGTTCAATTTTCTCTGAATTGAAATGCTCAATTTTCTCTAGATTGAAATTTTCTCTAGTTGTTCAATTTTCTCTGGATTGATGTTGAGAGACCTTAGACATTATGAAATATTAGGTGTTCTTTATGCTATAAAATCTTAATATCAAGGACCTTAAAAAAAAATCCCCTAAAATTTTTAGCCTATTTTAGGCTAAAATTCACAAAATAGGCTAAAATAGTTAATAAGACAAAATATCACATCAAACTCATAATCATTTTACTTTTTCTCTTACAAACATTACATCTAACTACAAAAAAATTCTATCATCTTCTCAAACACAATATATTCTAAATTTGAAAAAAATAAAATAAATTCTAAAATTTTGACATAATTACACTAATTTTCCTTTTAGTATAGTTAAATGGATCCAAAAATAATACTGATGGTGTGAAAATACAAAAATAAACAAAGTATACATTTTTCATGTAAAAACAATGACATCATTTTTTTTTTCATCCATAGTACTAATAAATTAATGATAAAAAGGAAGATAAGGGTTATATAAATTTGAATGGGACAATTGCTATAAAATTGTATAAACTCCAAATAATTGCATAAGGATAGAAGTACAAGACTTAGTTACACAATCTAATGTATAAGTTGCTTGTACTTTCATGATATTGTAATTATTTTATGTTAATGCAATTTTTTTGCACCTCCCTCAATTTAAATTACAAAAGAGCTCAATTTATTGCATTTATTTATTTATTTTTTTCAAATATCAAAGGCTCCGTCTAATTAGAAAGAAAGAAATGATAGAAAGTGAAATTGGTAAAAAATATATTATTTTTTGTATGAATTTGATTAGGATGGAAAATTATGTATGAAAACAGGAATTCCAATTAGAAATAATTACTTTTAGAGAACTGATTGAGGGCCCGAATTCCTCCGCCCCGAATGCCCCTAAACCACGAAACGACGTCGTTTCGTGGTTTTAATTTTTTATTTTTTTTATTTTTTTCAGCAGAAGAAGAAGACGAAGACGGAGGAGGGGGAGGAGCAGAAGAAGGAAGACGAAGACGGAGGAGGGGGAGGGGGAGGGGGAGGAGGAAGAGGACTGGAGGGGGCCTAAAAAATGGGCTGGAGGCGGAGGGGCGCGGCGATCGGCGACGAGCAGAGGCATGGCGAGCAAAGGCATGGCGGAGGCGAAGGCGCGGCGATCAGCGACGGTGGCGACCCCTCTCCCTCTCCCTCTTTCTCTCCCTCTCCCTTTCTCTCTCTCTCTCTCTTCCTCCGCTTCGACCTTCCTCTGCGTCGAAAATGGCAGAAAAAATGAAAAAAAAAAAAATTCGAGCCACATTCGAGCCAGGCATTTCGGGCCCTCAAACATTTTCCTTACTTTTATAACAAATTTAAAAATTCTTGTATTTTTTTGTGTTTGTTTGTAAGAAATTAAAAGCTTAGTCATCATACTATTATGAGTTGTATTTCACCACTTTCATCATAAACAAACTTAGAAAAAACTTAGGGATATTTTTTTAAGGTTCTTGATATTAAGATTTTTTAAGATAAAAGACATATAATATGTTTATAATAGTTGGGATCCTTCAATATTTTCATAGAGAAAATTCAATACAAAGAAATTTTGCTCCGACAAATTTTTCTTTATACTTTTCACAGAGAAATTAATTTTCACATCGAAATTTCTTTAATTTCATAGAAAAATTTCAAAATTTCTTTGATATGATTACAGAGAAATTTCATCGAAAAACTTTAACTAATAAAAAAACATATTGGACTTTTCCTACTATCCAAAATTGAAGAGGAATGTTTAACTAATTTTTTTCAAAAAATTATTTATTTATTTTTCCATTTCTTTCACTTTCTATCAATTTCATTCTAAGGCCACCTCAAACGTTTCACCTTTTTTTTTAAATTTTTTTTTATTATCAAATTTGAATTTGATGAAAAGAGCAGACTTTTTAAGCTCTAACACTTACACCAAACCAGTATCAAATCCAGAATATTTTAAATTTTTCATCAAATTATAGATGACTGTGCCTTTCATTAATTTATTGTACATAGCCGTTGGAGATTTGTAGCATACACCATCACCGAACGACCGGCCGGTCGACCACCTCCATGCAAAAATCTGTTTCAGAATATGAAAAAATTATACTAGACGGTCGACTTGCTAGACATCCCTCGATCATCCTTCCAGTTGACTGGTAATTTAATGAAATTTCATATTGTTTCATTAGAATGCGTGATATCAGGGAAAAAAAAAACTTTACTCAAATTTTTAATTAAATTTCATAGAAAAAAGGTTAAACGTTTGAAATATTCTAAGCCAAAAGGAAAAAAAGAACCGGGATATTTTAGTACTTTCAGATAGGTATGTTTGCTAGTGAGCTTCTGGTCTTGAGAGCTTCTATTTGCACATACTCTTTCCACTCTTTGCACATCCTTCTCACTACACACACCTAAAAAATTAATCCCAAATTATTTTACTCACTGCACACACCTTTTATTCTACATTTACCCTCACACACACACACACATACACATACACACACACCCCTAGACCCCCAAACCCATTTCTCCGAATGGTTTTACACACACCCATTCCATTGTCAGCCCTGTCTCTCATACACATCCATCTCTCACAATCTACCTTTCGTCCCTAAAAGCTGCATCCATCCATTAAAGACATCTTATTGAACCATTGAAGGAATTCTTCACATTTGGGAGAACTTAGGTTAGTTTACTTATTTCAATCATCATTTCTATTTCATTTATAATGTAAGGTTTGTTTTTATCATTTTCGAAATGAACGAACGCATAGCCTATCGAAATGAGCAATCTGTTCCTCATTCGGAACTGGTTTTTCGAAAATAACCAACTTATTCAGAAGTAGCATTCTGAAAATTATCATTTATTTCAACAGTAGAATGTTAAATTTTTTTAATTCTTTCGACATTGAACTTCCGAATATGTTTAATTTGGACAACATTCAACTTTTGAAATGAATTTGGTTTTTCGATTTTTAACTTCCGAACATAATAGATATCTGCGGTTTTCAACTTCCAAACGGTTTTGTTTTTTTGTTTTGTTTTTCCTCTTTTGTATATTCTTTTTACAATTCCATACTCACTAAATATATTAGTTTTTGCAGATAATATGGATTCTGAATGTCAACAACATGTCCCACTTACTGCTTCAAATAGACGACGTTGTGAATTGGATGTTGACTATGAACGGGGACGAGAGCGTGGGCGAGGACAAGGTCGGGGTGGTGGTCGAGGTCGTGATCTAGTTTTCGGTAGAATATGATATCCCCAGGCTGGTTATGAGGACGAGATTCGATATCCTCGTCGACTTTACCAGGCTATCGAGACTATGGCGCATGTCTTTAAAGGTCAGCACATTGACGAAGCTGGACCTAGTTCTACTGAACCTAGTTGTACTGGAGGTTGTTTTTCATCTTCGACATTGACATACAGTCGTAGGCCTAGTCGTAGGCATACAGATGATTCGTGACATATTATTTGTCAGTTGATGAATTTTTTGTGGTGTTTTTGTAAGCTGATATTGCTGTACGTATCTTTTAATGACATCATAAAAGATATTTTGTTATTAGAATGGAATGGTAACAATGGTCGATGACATTGTAAATGATATTTTGTTATTAGAGTGGAATGATAACAATGGTCGATGACATCGTAAATGATATTTTGTTATTAGAATGGAATGGTAACAATGGTTTATAACATTCAATCCATGCCACATAACACATCAACATCAAAAAACACATCCATTAATTTCTTCCATTGTTGTAACATTGTCAAATGAATACATGTGTCATTCGACATCAACAACATCAAATGTCTCTCGAGTAGCTATAGTATCATGACTGATGTCCTTGAAATAATGAATGTGGCGCACATATGCATCATCCCAATCGACAGCACAAGGGTGACGGTATTTTCGCCAATTAGTGGCTATAAGAGGAACTGGATGGCCTGACTTAAAAAAAACCTGCACCAAATGTCACTTGAGTTAGTGGTCATACCTTATAACTTGTTGTACACGCACAAAATGATAAGTTCTTATACCTGGACGAAATGATTTTCGTTGAAACTGCTAATTTAGTATGCAATTTACGAATTTGGAATATAAAATGAAAAAAAAAAATTACTTCATTCGGAAGTACGGTGTCGAAAAAAATGCTACTGTTTGAATGTAGTTGTCCCAATTATTTTTACCGGTTCGAAAGTTGAATGTTGAATGTTGAACACTTTACATTATTTCGAACGACAACTTTCGAAATTAAATAATTATTTTGGTAGTAAACTATTGAATAAATTGATATATTTTGATCGTGGTTTTCCGAAAAACACTGAAAAAAAACAAAAATGACTTTTACATAGCAAAACTTACATTTTCTTAACTATCTTTCTCATAAACATTTATCTATTTATGAAAATTTGAATTTTCAAAAGTAAAATCTTTCATAACAATGATGAATAAGGATGTGGTTTAGTGTGTAAATTAATGAAAAGTTAAGAATCAAGAATGATGGTGTTTAGTGTGTAAACTAATGAATGGAAACTAACAATAAAGGGTTTTAGAGGATGAGGATGGAATGGGGGTTGTTTGGAATGACCTAAATAAGTGTACTTTTTGTCTTTTTACGAAAAGATGTGGAAAAAAATAGAGAGATGATGTGATGGAAAAAAGATAAAAAGATAAAAAGATGGATTATTTTGAGGTTGCTAAACTTGGCCTGAATATGAAAGAATAGAGTAGCTACAATGGACTTATGGAGCTTCAATAGCTTCAACGTAAGTCTGGATGTAGATTGAGGAATTGTGTTTATTTAAATTATGTGTGATGTTCATAATATTAAATAAAATTATAATAAAAATAATTATCATCAAGTGTGCAAAGAGTCGAAAGGGTGTGCATATAGAAGCTCCCTCTGGTCCCATCTGCCATGCAACACACAGGAGCTATGTTTATCATTCTACAGGCTCTTGGAAAATTTGATGATACTTTTATGAGTTGGGAATCAATTACATTATTCCGTTTCTGATAAGGTGATAAGGTTGAAGTCACAGTCTCTATTATTGATCAATAATGTCTGTCAATAATATTGATCTTCCATACCAAAACTGATCGGGTTTAACTGTCGTGTACTCTTCCCCCGTATTTCCAGAGAGAGAGAGAGAGAGATATGACGATGGCTGTTTTGAATACCTTATTTTCACAGCCTAAATGCAACCCCAATCCCCAAAATCAGGTAAAATTTCAATCACTTCTCGTTCTCAATCTCTCAAATTTTGCATTCAATTTTGCTCATTTCAATATTCATTTCATTGCTTTTTGTGACCAATCGTTTTCTATATGTTCATGTTCCGTTTGGCTGGTGAGAAAATCTGGCCAACCATTTTCAACCTCAACATTTTTACTTATGGCAAGTCACAGCTTGAAGCCTTACACCGTTTCCATTTGGGGATATTTTACGTTTTTCATAACTCGAAGGTGTAAAATTGTGTAAATTTATACAATATTTGCTTCCATAATGCTTTAGGCTGTATTTGGTTGAGAGATTTGGAAAGGGAAATTGAAAAGATGTGTGAAATTATGGAAAATTTAGGATATTTTATTCACATTTCATCCATCTCTTCATTTTCCCATTTCAAATCACTTCCCAAATCTCCAACCAAACACAGCGTTGGAGAATTTTGCATGTGAATTTCTATTTATGCTCTATTTGTTTGGGCAGAAAATATTTTCTAAGGATATTTTTTTTCAGAAAATGTTTTTTGGAGAATATGTCTGCTGGTGGTGGTGGTGGAGGAATGAAGGTGGAGGTGGCGGCATGGTGGTGGGGTGATGGCGATGGTGATGGTGGTGTGGTGGTGGATGTGAGAATGGTGGTGGTAGTGTAGTGATATTGGTAAAATTTTAATTTGGAAAACATTTTTCACCTTTCAACATTTTCTGTCCAAATAGGTTTGTTTTTCATGAACCATGGAAAATGTTTTCCGTTAGACTTTCGTTTTGCATTGTATCAAACACCAGAAAGTACAGAAAAATATTTTCTGCCCAATCAAACGTATCTTAGTTTCCTCACATTTCTGTTTTAGGGAATTTATTGCCTTAGTTTTAAACAGTTCTTTGAAATTTGTGTTTTCACATTGGTTCAGCATACACAGTACTAAATGCACAAAGTTAAGACACAGAAAGTGTACTGTGTGGTTCAGGTTTATTTTAGGCATGACTCACATAACGCTCAAGATGGATCTCAGTCACACATTATACTTTTTGTGTATTTTCTGATTTTAATTTTGTGCAAATATCAATGCATAGGATTTATACAGACCTGAGTCAGTTTACTTGTAGAGCATTTACTCATATTTCATTAATTTTACCACAACAATTTTACCTCTGTTTTGGTTGTAACAGAGGATCTCTGTCTAGTTACATATATATGATTGATTATACACAGATAACAGACTTTCTAAAAAGGAGGAACTTATTTGGTTATCTCCTCTCCCACTAAATCTGTTTTAGATTTTCTTCGCATATACCATGCTTAATTTGATAAGAAATTTGTTTGGTTTTGAGATTCCAAATAGAGTTTTTTTGATTTTTTTTGTTTTTTGTATTTTGTTGTTTTTAGTGAGTTTTTTTTATCATATATTAGTCCATTGTTCTAATTTTTGTGTACTTAAAATGTAAAATAATCGTGAAGAAATCTACAAAGAATTCAATAAATACAAAAAAAAAAAGAAAAGCAAATGTACTTAATTTTTATATTTTTTTTGTAGTTAGTGAATTTTTTAAAGATTTTTTCCCCTACAAATTTGTACTTTTAAGTGTATCTAGATTAAATAGATCCAAATTTTTTTTTAAAAAAATGATTAAAATATTAAAAAAATTCACTCAAAACCAAAAAAATACAGATTGAAAGCTCGAAAACTGTCTTTGGAAATTCCAAACGGAGTTTTTTTTTTTTTTTTTTTTGTCTTTTCAGACACAGAATTGAGCTTTCTATAATTGCTGTTATTTTCAGTGTCATTGGATCTTGGGTATTTTACATAGTATTTCTGGTACTTTGCAGCATTATCACAGGCATATAATTACTATTGAATAATGCTTGGTACCCCCTTTTGGGGGTCACCCCCTCACCCCCTTTGCCACGTGGTAGGGGGTGATTGGAGGAGCAGGAAAAAAAAGAAAAAGAAAAAAGAAAAGGTAACCAATGAGAGAGAGAGGGGGTCAAAGGGGGTGGGGGAAAAGGGGGGATGAATCATTACTCAATTACTATTTGTCACTTGTCAATTGCTTTTGTACTTCTAAGGTTTTTCAAAGCTGTTGTTTCTTATATCTGAAAAAATTCAAGAGACAACGAAAAAAAAACTAAAAGAAAAAGAAAGAAGCAGGACATGTTCTGTCCTCTTCGCAACCAAATCTGATATTGATTTACAACATGAGAATGACCAAGCTATTCATTAGTTTTTTTTTTTTTTTGGTCCCATGGACATTTGTTAACCACAATGAAATTTTATATAACATTCTAGGCTGTCATCTTGGCTGTGGCCATTATAAGGGCAGCTGTTTCACAAATTATGTTGGAAGTTTTTTTGAATTTTTTCATTTCAAGGAAATATGGACAAGTCCTGTTCTTTCATGGGCTCATTTAGGGGTTGAATTCTTTTAAATGGAATGCCATAGAGAAAGGCAATTGTCAATGGAGTGTCTCCAAATGCTAATGAGATCATTTTTTTTTTTTTTTTTCTTGTTTGTTATATCTGGTGTGTTGCATGTCTTATTTTGAAGCGTTAGTCAATGAACAACACTTTGTGCAAATTATGCCAAAAGTTAGGTTTGTACCCAATTTACCTCTCCCAGAACCCCATCAAATGGGGATTAATTTGGGTGTAGTTTTTAGTCAATGAACAACACTTCCAAATTATTTTTGCAGGACACAGAGGTTCATGGATGCAAGGCAGCTCCACGTTCATGACACTTTTTCCAACAATGGAAGGACTCAGTCCCCGTTGCATTCTGTGTTTCCCACAAAACCAGAAGTTACCTCCATAGAGGATCTTTTTGAATTTATATGCTTAGGTCCCCTTCTAAACAAACTGGGTCTGACCTCGGAGATGGTGGCCGAGTCTATTGACCAGTGGTTAGCTTAGGGATTACATCAACTCAATGAACTCTATCTGACAATACCTCAGAAAGCTAGATTTTATCACTACTACATACCAGTCTTCGTATGGTGTGAACAACAGATTTCTCATCACAGGTCCATGTTTAAAGAGGGAGAAGATGTTACTCCTTTAGTGGTATATATAAGATGTTCTTTAGATCCCCCATTTTCTCTATCTGCTAGATTCTCATTCTATAGTCTTGATGTGTATTTACAACCAATGGACTATGTCATAAAGTTTTTGTAATGCAGATTGGTTTTAGTGCTCCACAAGGATGTGGAAAGACTACGCTCGTCTTTGCTCTAGATTACCTTTTCCAAATCACTGGCAGGTAGATTGAAGAATGGTGATATTTACTGTACAGAATAGATCTTGTCAATACTATGAGTCATATTATAACAAAATAAAAGAAATTTGTTAAATCACAGGAAGTCTGCTACAATCTCCGTTGATGATTTCTACTTGATCGCAGAGGATCAGGTAAAAAGTGTTCAAGGGAGTCTCCGGTTATTGCTTCTCTTCTTTGTGCTTTTGCTTTCTGATGTAAATTTAATTTGATTTTAGGCTAAATTGAGAGAAAGTAATCCAGGAAATGCTCTTGTAGAGGTAGTAATTAGCACATTCCTTTTCTTAGCTTGCAAGATTAGGCAATACTTTTAAATCTTTAGATAATGGAGATTATTTCCTCGCGCACAGTTTCGTGGAAATGCTGGAAGCCATGATCTTTCATTATCTGCTGAAACATTGACTGCTCTAAGCAAACTGACTAAAGAAGGTGAGAGTTTTCCTTCATTTTTCTTTGCATTTTAAGTTTGTCTAGTTTTAATAGGTTATCACGCAAAGTGGGGAATGAATTTTATCCATGTGCTCGTTAGGTATGAAGATGAAGCTACCCCGACATGATAAAGTGAGCTCTCAACACCATTTGAAATACTTATCAATTAAAGGTTGCTTATCATACTTATCAATTAAAGTTTGGTTATCATAGTTTTTTTGTTATGCAGTCTGCATATAATGGTAGGGGTAACAGAGCTGATCCTTCAACATGGCCAGAAGTTGAAGGGCCTCTATTGGTAAGGAGGATATTCACCAATTTATAGCTTGCAAAGGGTGGGTTTGGGGTGATGAATTTGGATGGGTCCAAAATTATGCCTGTCAAACCATCTGCCAGCCAGAATAACTACATCTTCTCTTCAAAATGCATTAAAATGAATTTTGCAATATATATTCAACGTTGACCAATTGGTCTAGGGGCCAGAAAAAAGAAAGACTGATTGTTGGGTGGGTGTCTTTGCCTTCTTGTTTTTGGTTACATTGCCAGCTCTATTATTATTATAATTGTCATTTTTTTTTTCTGTAGGAGAAGATTTGAAGTCTAATTTTTCATCATTCTTGTTCTTTTGGTTTTCTTTTAGGCTATTCTGTTTGAGGGTTGGATGCTTGGTTTTAAGCCCCTTCCGGTTGAAGTTGTCAAAGCTGTCGATCCACAGGTCGGAGCCCCCTTAGATATTGTAGCCAAGAGCACATTGGTTTCTGTTTTTTACAGACTCATTGTCTCTGACTTTACTCTGATGGGGGTCCATTTTAGCTCAAGCTGAAGCTTAATTTTACAGCTGGAGACAGTGAACAAAAATTTAGAAGGTTATTATGATGCGTGGGACAAGTTCATAAAAGCATGGATAGTTATCAAGATCAAAGACCCAGATTGTGTCCACCAGTGGCGATTGCAGGTTGTCCATTGCCAATAATTTTTTTTTTTAGTAAATTTATTTAATATTTTTTTTAACATAAAATCCTTATCCCTTGCAATGTGTGGGTAATTTGCAGGCAGAAGTCGCAATGAGAGCAGGTGGAAAGCCCAGGATGTCTGATGAGGAGGTGGGCGTTTAGCTATTAAATTCTCATTGAATGTTATATTTCTTGCTTCGAAGGATCTGCAAAATATTTAAAATTTTGGATTTAATTGTTTTATACTTTATTGGGGGGTTTATTTCAGCTTATGGACTTTGTTTCGCGATATCTCCCAGCATACAAGGCTTATCTCCCGACACTGTACTCCAAAGGCCCCACCGGTGCTGATCTAGACAATCTCCTTCTCATTGAAATCAATGAAGGAAGGAATCCCATCCTCGGTAACTAGGTATAACCATCCCGATAATTATTTACGTGAAGTCCTTTTGATTTTTGAAAATTGTGTCACTGCCATAGGATTGCATTCGGATAGAGCATAACCATCTGTAGTGTAAAGTAGTCATATTTGCGTCTGATTCAGTTTCAATGTAAACGAAATGAGGCTACGCTTTTTAAATGAAAGAAAGAAAAAAAATCTGTTTCTGGTGGTGGTTGAAAGCATGTTAAAGTTGATAATGGTGAATTAGGAGAAGAAACCAATACTCTTTACAGACTATTAAGGCTCCGTTTGGATAAATAGATTTGAAATTACGGGAATTGAGGTTTAAACTTTGTAAAATTCTAGGAAGGTTAATCAATGGATGTAGATAGCTAATTCTGAAGTAAAAGATGACATACAGATAGGAGAGATAAATTTTGTTAGTATATTCTTACAAGTATAAATAGAATCATTGAGTGAAGGATTTCAAATAAATATGTTCATCAAGGATTTCGAATAAAATGCTCAAATCTATTCTTGAAATCTAAATCTAAAATACTAAATTGAATTAAATGTTACATCCTTGAATGAGTGATGTCAACTCCATTCATTTCAAATTCATAAATGCAAACGCAATCTAACAGTAAGGGCGATTTCTGTTGCAAGTGAAACTAAGAATTTGGAGTTAGTCCATACAGTATAAAGCTGTAAACCCTTATTTTTCTTTCTAAGCGAATAAAAAAAAAAAAAAAAAAAAAAAAATTGAAGATATAGGTAGAGATTATTTCTTAATTTTAGGTAAAACTGGGTAACATAATAATTCTAAAAACAATTTGAAAACTCATCTCATTCACCTCTCAACAATCTCAGTACATAAAAGCAGAAACGCTAATGTGAAGGTGACAAAACGCTTGCATGGCACAGATATGTGTTTGTAGAGTTTTAGTAAATGAACTATGCGCAGTCACAGCATAGAACATCCAAACAACACTCGCAAGTCTCGTAGCAACAAAAGCAGCAACACAACGCGAACAAACTGTGTCAGAAATATCAGGAACGAAACAAGTAATTAGAATGGATAGAAAACCAGTGGCACAAAAGCTGAAATTTTTTTTTTTTTGGCTGCTTTTATAGTTAATTTGAAACACAAGAGAGAATGTACTACGGCTCTGTTTGGTTTCAGTTTAAGCCAAAAAATATTTTGGTAGTTTGTTTCAGCTTATTTAACTGACAATTGAGAAAAACAAATTTTTTAACGGGATCCATAATTTTTGTCTAGTGATAAAAAATTCACATTTGTTTTGAAGTTTTTTGTCTTTAGTGATTTTATTATTTTTATTTTTGTAACTTCTTAGGTATTTTTAGATTAGGAAGATCTAAAAGGACGAAAATTCCCCCCCCCCCCCCCCCCCCCCAAAAAAAAAAAATGATAAAGACCAAAAATTAAAAAAATCCAAACCCTACATAAACTTTCCCAATAATGAAAAATAACTTTTTTAGCATTTGTCAAATGAATCAAAAAAAAAAAAAAAGGGCAAAAGAACTACTGAAAAATCATTTGCCAAAGCAGCCGTAATATTATGTTTGGATCTTGAATTTGTAGAGAAAGAAGAGGGGAAAGAAATATGAGAATTGAAGTAGAAGCAAATTTCCTTTTCCTTTCTATTTATTTTGTCTTTTCTCTTTCTTTTTCATTTCTCTGCATAAATCAAACACAACTTAAAGGAGATGAAAGAGACACAAACCAAGCATAGAGGCATCCTTTCTCATTATGCCGCTTTTGGACATGGTCAAAGTAGGCCATATTTTCAGAGGCTGGGGCTTCCATATTCATCTTGTGATGTATTTGACTAAGAAGGTGGAGAGAAAAAGGAAGATAGTCTGTCGATTCAATTGCAAAGTAGAAAGCAACTTGTGTTCTATTTATAGGGATGGATGGAAGGGTAAAAGGGTTTTACTTATAGGTTAAGCATTATCTAAATATATGGAGAAATTGCTTAGAAAGTGCCCCCAAATCACCATTAATGTTGTTATCATCTATGGTAGGTAGGTAGCAAAGTAAAAAGGAAAATTCTATTTTCACACACTAAATTATTTCTGTGTACATCTTTTCTTAATTCACACATTTAGTAATTTGATTTTTATTTCTTTATCTCAGTCCACACACTTCACATTCCAAATATACTCTCACATTCTCTGTGCACATCCTCTCATTCTATCATTTCTCACTCCAAAAACCTTAACCCTAACTACACCAGCTACCGGCGACGGCGGCAGCAGCGACGACATCAACCACCGCCCCTTCCCAGCCTCTCAGCCATTCTCGCACAGCCCCTCATACTGCCGTCACCTCCATCGCCGGTCACCGTCACCTTTGCAATCCACCTCCCCATTTATTCCCCAGTCTTTTTCGCCCCCTCCCCAATCCTCTCCGCCCTCTCCATCGCGACGTAACCTCCTTCCTTCACCACGATCGATCGATTGATCGATTAACAGAGAAAGAAAAAGAGACAGAGAGAGATTCAATGGTTGATGCTCAAACAAACCCTATAGATTCGATAGTTGATATCTGTACATACTCAATTGGTTTAGCGATTGATATCTGAACGGTTGCGATTTCTCCGGCGATCTACAGAGAAAGAAAAAAGACGAAATGGGAAGGTTAGGGACTAAAAGGAGTGGGGAAAGTGAAAGGAAATGCTGTGTATGATTGAGATTTGGGCATGGGAGGCAATGGCCGGCGGTGAAGTGGCTATTGAGATGGTGGTGGGTGAGATGTGTATGGAGAAATTATGAGATGTGTGGGTGAGATGGTGGGTGAGATGGTAATTTTGTTAAAGGATAAAATTGTGATTCTGAAAAAATTCATTAAGTGTGTGGAGTAAGAAAACTTGGTGTATGGAAATAGAATTTCCCAAACAAAAATGGCAAAGATATATTACTAATTACTGTATATACCCATGGGTTTTATACCAAATATGCCCTCATCATATTATTGATTAACAATTTGTTTTTTAGGGTCAGTTTTTGTAATCGTTAATAGAGAAAGATTTCTTTGTGTTTTGTGACGTATGAGAGCTAAACAACTTTTGGTACATAAATGTAGATAAGGATTTCTTTTTTGTCATGCATTTTTAAGTTCTAGGGTTGATTAAAGGTTAAGATAATCATACAAGGACATAACTGGTAAATGGAAAAAACAGTAATGGTCCGTTATTAGTTTAAAGATGTGATTATTTTTTATTTGTGACGACACTTTCAAAAACTCATTCATGTAGATAAGGCTCTTATTATGATGTTATTTAATAGATTCTGGTCCCATGAGAGTAGCCAATAACCTTTAATGAATAATATATTGCACTGTTGAGGTGAAATTAAGTTTATGATCGGCATAACAATAAATCATGACACTGAGCAGAAAAATAGAAGCCACATGATAGGACCAACATGTTGGTGACATATCCCTAGTGATGAAAAAAGATATACACCCATAGTCTGAATGACTACTTACAACACTTCTTCTTTCATTGTAGAAAAATCTAACTTAGCCATCAGAGTGTCTACCTGGCCAAACCATCAACCGAATAACTCTAGTTGTTTGTTGTATGTGCATTCATTTGAACCTCAAGTATATAGGGAAAAAAGGAGCTAGTCACACCACACTTAACGATCACAACAACCACAACATAGTCCATTTTTAAGGAGATCGAATTAAAGACTTCATTAACCAAGATAGTAATATTGTCAACCAGATGTCACTGAGCTACAAAGACATTAGTAGCCAATGAGTCATAATGCATCATATTGTGATTTTCAAAAAGAGGAATGACTTCATGATTATTGACAATGCAAACATTATTTTATGAAAAAAAATTTACATACTTTTCTTTCTTCCTGATATGACACTGTGGGTGAGAGGTGTGGTTAAAGGTAGTCCGGGAAGATGGCGGGCACTTCAATGGCCTGAGATCACCGGAGGTGGAGAAGAAGAGGTCAAGGTAAGCTTGGAGAGGGAGAGGTTGGCAGTGATAGACCTTGAATATTAATGCAAAGTGAGAGAGGGTGTTTAAGTATGAAACTTGATTGTATTGTTGTTGTTGTGTCTCGCTGCATATACGATACGTTATATAGGCCACAGGAGTATTGGAGCCCAAGCAAACTGTTGGACAGGTGGCTCGTTCTCCTCAACTCTGCCAGAAGTGATATAAGCCCTTCTGTCGTCTGTGGTTTGACGGCAGGCGGAGAGCAACGTTTCATGGCAGGCAGAAAGTAACGTTTCGTATATACATCGGATGACATGAACGTAAGGTCATTATTGCCTCTTCTCCAAGCCTGGTCGAGATGGAGTTGTCTTAGCAAGAAGACAAACATCTCGACGATCCCATGACCTCAGCCGCCAGTCCAGTATCCTCTGATGATCCCGAGCAGTAGTACCTAGGTCCTGCTCCCAACCTAGGCATCCAAGTAGATAAATGGGCCAGGGCCCACCTTAATGTTTAAAAGAGCCAGGGGCTTGCCTCTAGGCAACCAAGTAGGAGTTTGGGCCGCAGGCCTATCTCAATGTTTAGGAGAGCCATTGTTTATCAATCCAAGTCCAAGTGAGCCGGGAGTTGATTGTATTGTTGTTTGGCCTTGGAGCGAGGTATGAAGGACCATGGGCCCTGGGGCCATGGTGCTGCCTATTGCAGGGCTCTTCATATCTAGATATATTTGGGCTTATATGTATGCTCCCGCTTAGGCTAAGCATATAGTCTTGGCTGCCTTGGCACATGACGCCCGTAGGGCTCGCCATGTAGCAAACATACGACATGCCCGACGTGATGCCTTATTGGTCTGCCACGTGGGTGGGGTTTTGGTGATGTGGCACCTGTAGGGCTTACCACATATCGAGCTTGATACAAGTACCCACAATAATGCCCCCCTGTACAGATGCTCTTATAGCTAATGAGAGTATTTGTACATGACTATGTTAAAAAGTTTTGAAAAATATTAACTCATGCAGACAAGTATTCAGATAGAGTTGTCTAAAATTAGGCTTTTGATATAATGGGGGCATTTGGATTGCTCATAGAGAGTTTACATTTTAAATTTCATCCGGTGCGAGCCGGCCGGATAAAGATGTGGGCTTGTTGGGCGATGGCTTGATTCCACGGGATCTCTATTACATCACATGAGATTTCAGCTTCATTCCATAGGCACCAAATTCCGCCCGTTACTCTTTCCATGCCGCTGGGAGGTGGGTTCATGGTCTTGGTGTTGGAGTAACCCATGATTTGGCTCATGAACTGGGCCTCGCTTTCCCTTGTTTTTGTGTTTGTGATGATGACGAGGTGGAAGCGTCCGCTAGAATGTAGGTGCATGTAGTGTTGGAGAAAGTTAGGGCGAGCGACGCCCTCAGTGTTGAAGAAGAGAATGTTAAGTGGAATGTTGTAGGAGATGTTTGACTGAGCGTTGTGGGAAGCGCTCTTTTCTCCCATGTTGAGATCTGCAAAGTTCTCTATGTCCCACCCAAGTCCCAAATTTTCATTTGGGTTTTCCAATGGTGCTGACATGATGGAGATGTGGTGGTCTAGATCTCTCTCTGTCGGTCTTTGTGAGAGGATATTGATGCGGATCTTCTCGAAATGTGGGATTAATACTTGGTTTGCCTGGCAGGTGGATCCTTGGAGAGTGAGGTTGATTTCTTGGTTTCGCAAAAACCAAGTGTAGGACAGTGGTATTATGTAAAGTTCTGGAATGGTTAGTGCCTTATACCATCCTCT